ACAGATGCTTACAGGGTATTCCATTCAAATTCGGGTTCCGCTTGCGATGCTCACCTCCATCTACCAGAGCCAGCGACTGAGCCAGGGCCACAGCTGTTGAAGGTCAAGGTGAACGAAGGTCAGATTGTTGTCTTCAGTTAGGGGGATCGCCAAAAAAGTCCCAACTCTTCTGCAAAGATTTCCCTTCAACTCGTGCGTGGATTCATGCAATTGAACGCGGCGTTGAGTCAACAGTTTGGTTTCCAAGCTACATCTCTGTAAAAGAAACACCGCATTCAATCTGCAGTTACGCGCAAAGCTTCACTCAGTGGTCCCACCTGAGGTTGAGTGGAGCGTGAACGACAAGTGCCCTTCTTCGGGATGAGAAGCTCGTGTTCATGTCCAATCGAATTGACAGCGTGCCAAAGTGGCAAACACACATGAGCAAACATGCATTGGCAATTTTGGTCAGCTCGTGGCCACCGTTGGATAACATGTGTGTTCCCAGAGCTTGGTTCAGTCTCGGGCCCCTCGCTTTTGAAGTCATGGCAGTGGTTGAGCGCTCACCTCAAAGTGCTGAGCAGTGGCGTTCTGTGAGAACCTCGCCCAAATAGCTGTTCAAGGTTTATGGTCCTTTCTGTATTTCACAGTCTTCATGCAATCATGCTGAGACTTGTCACTTGCCTACGACCATCGCCCAGGACCAGGCAAAATCTCATGGAAGGAGGCTGATGTGGGCTCTTGATCGAAAAAGACCATAAGTTGTTCTTTTGAAGATGTTAAAGGGAGATAGATAGATAGTAGATAGATAGTAGATAGATAGATATAGATGTATATATATGATACAGGTGATATTTATGATATTCATATTCTATCTCAAGAACACTAAACTCAAACATGATGCCTCCAGCCTAGCATCAAAAGACTGATACAACAAAATGACTTGTGGGCTCCTGGTCTTTAAGATCAGGTCGAGCTAGCGGCCCTCATGCAAGCCAGCGTTCCACCGACAGTGCTGGCGACCATCGACAGCGACGCGTATGAGGGAGGGGGGTTGGTCGCTCTGCCCGAGTCAAAGTTTGTCAAAACTCCCACTGCGAAGGAATTGTCCTCCAACATCATGTGGCTAAAGCCTTTGGTGACCTACTCGCCCACGAAGGCCCGCGTCACAACAATTGTGGTTTTTTGACGTTTAACACCCTATAGGTTTTAAAATTTTACATATTGAAGAGGGGGCTGTTTGGGTTTGGCTTGATTGATACCTCAACATTGTAACCAGCAGCCTTACAAATAACAGCTTGCCCGGCATGTTGAATCCCTTGCCATAAATCCAGGTCTTGAGCGCATATTTTCTCACCGATGTATGGCTTGAGCTGGACAAGAACTTGAATCGCAAACTATTTCGTCCACTTCAGGGTGAATCGCGGATGAAGCTAGCTGCTTATGAAGGCTGCAAAGCAAAGAAGTGCATGGGCGCACTGCGTAGCCTATGGAGGAGTTCCAAGACTGACTGGCGGACATGATCAGAACATCCGCCAGTTGAAGAGCTTCCTGCGCGAGAGCCCTCGCCCTGGTCGTCGCCAAGTGGATGATTCAGACGCTGATCAGTCGCCTGCAGATGAAGCCGCCTCCGATCCAGAATCAGAGCCCGGGCCCGAGCCCTTGGTGCCAGCAGTTGAAGACGAGCCCAGCTCTGAGTCTTGCGCGTCCGCAGGGCCTTCATCGCCAGAAGCTGAGGAGGAGGGCGTTGAAAACGCAAGCCCTTCAGAGAGCTCACAGGGCGATTCGCTGACGGCCAGAACACTGCGGCTGGGGGAGTGTTCGTCCGGGAGTGAAAGCTGTGCGTCAGAGTCGTCTGACCATCGGGACTCTCAAGTTAAAGATTCATGGATGGGCAAGGCAATGTCACAAATCACTCGCCAAACCATGGCGGCTGAAGCGTGGGAACGGAAGCTGGAGAACCTCATCTTGGACATCAAGTTTGATTTGCAGGAGCAGCTGCACGCTGTGATGGAAGGGAGCGAGTGGGACCAGTACTCTGAGTGGTGCAAGGGCATCTTGACCGCCCACGGTGATTCTGTCTACAGCAAGCTTGCGGATGCTGGCCACTTCAAACGGTGGATCTTCAGACAGAAGTCTGAGCCGGCTGAGGAGAAGGGTTTGTGGTTGGGCGATGAAATGATTGGGATAAGTTGGGGTTAGGCCTCTCATGACTCTCATGCGCATTCTTTTGCACCTTTGTTTTAACCGCCTTGCCCGAAGGATGAGAAGGTTGGTGCTGCGCGCAAGCGCCTCTTTCAGGGAAGCTTGGACAAGGCTTTTCGCACGATGAACATGGAGGTTGGAGTTGAGGATGATGAGAACACAGTGACTCCTGCTGCAAAGCGCCCGCGGACCATGGGCGTTGTCGCCAAAGCTTTGCAGGAGACACCTCCTCCAGTTGTTGGGCCCCAAACGGTCGCTTGGAGAGGTATTAGCCTTTTAAAGCTTTTGGCCTCAGCTTTTGCCAAACACAATTTATACTTATTGAAGGTAGTTCGTGGATGCCATGGTGTTCGTGGGACGCCAGGCAAAGTCCATGGCAGCAGTCAAGCTAGAGGACAAGCAGTCGGAGTTGGGCAACTTTGAGTTCGGTGAGGCCTTGAACAAGCTCCATGCATACGACTTGGACAACCTTCAAGTGCCCATTGAGGCTCGCCCCAAACAAGGCCAGGCCCACCTTGGCCGTCATGGATACACCATCAAGTCCAAGAATGGCGCTGTGTCTCGTTTGAGCATTTCAAGAGTATTTCCATTATTCTCAACTTTCTCAAGCAGAATATTTCCATGATTCTCAACTTTCCCAAGCACAGTATGTCCATGATTTTCCATCGTCCCAAGCAGAGTATGTCAGAGTATGTCCATGTTTTCCACCACCCCAAGCAGAGTATGTCAGAGTATGTCCATGTTTTTCCACCATCCCAAGCAGAGTCTTCCCATGTCTTTCAACTTTCCCAAGTTGGGATCATATCAAGCCAAACCCAGAGGTTGTGGAATGCCTGCTCAAGACCCGGGCCTTCGTGATCAAGAGGGCAAACCCAAACATTGCCCAGACATCCGGCTCCAAAAAGCCCACCGGCCAAGTGACATGGTCCAAGTTCGGCGGCCCTGAGAAAGCCTGGCTGGAGACCAAGCTCCGCGCTGGATGGTAGGATGTTTTACCTTTTTATGGGGTGGTGTGGCATGCCTTTCAGAAAGACATGTGACCGGGGCTTTTCCGTCACAGGGCGCCTCTCTTAGGTCTCGAGAGTTGCGTTCGTGTAGGCGGCGCTTTCATCCAATTGAGATGAACCCATCATGCGACTTTCGTGAAAAAAGTTATCAATAGAGAAGGAGAAAGTGGGTGCGGTTTGAGCATGCATGTTTATCGGGCTCGGATTCGCATTCCAGGTATTGGCCCGTGCTTCTACTTGCTGGCCCTGAGCTGGGCATTCCTTTTCCAGGCCAGTACTACACAGCGCTTTCCTAATTATGATTCCGAGGTGTAGCCAAAGTAAAAAAGTAAAGATGCCAGGTCTTTAGACTTAGAACTCAAAGCAAGATTGACCTAGTGCAACGTTCCAGGACTTGGTTCTATTTCGGCTTCATCGCCAGCACTGGCCAGTTGGATCCCAGTTTGAGGCCAGACCTGAACACTGTCACTCTCCCTTCAACGTTGTCTGCGGCCTTTAGACCTAAGAGAAGCGCCTGTACATGCGTGGTGCACAAATGACCTGGTAGCCCATTATAGCCCAACGTCCCAGGACTTGCTTCTACTTCGACTCCAACGCCATCGCTGTCGAGTTGGACCCTAGCTGGAGGCCAGCCCTGAACACTCCTTTCAATCGGTGTTTGCAGCCTTCAGACTTTAGAAGTTTAGAGCATGTATCGCGTAGCCGTATTGACGGGCATCATGCGCTAAAGACTTGGTGACCGACTAGCGCAAAAATCCAGGACTGGTTCTACCTCGACTTCATCGCCATCGCTGGCAGTTGGATCCCGGTTGGAGGCCAGCCGTGAAGATTCACTTCAACCTTCTTCGAACGTTGTCTGCGTAGAACCCCTTACAAATTCATAGAAGAGAATCCAGGGTTTGCTGTGTGTTGTCATTGAAAGAAGCGGTACTTGGTTGTGGACAGCCGGCATCTTCCAGGTACGGTCCTCCTACGCTTGGCCGACCAGCTGTCTACAGGCGCAGGACCGCGACTGCAGCGTCGTGGTGTGTTGGAAGAAGGCCCCAA